ACATTAATCAATGATGTATTTCATATTTTCACTTTGAAAAATCCATTTGGATTACAGCTTGTTTTGCTCCTTTGAATACAATGTTATGATAAAAAGCTAATGTTTATGCCGGAATTAACTTCAGACTGCATTCCTCGCCACTGTACAATTTAGGGATGCACGATATTGGTTTTTTGAAACCGATACCGATAACTTCCTGCTTCTCAAGACCGATACCGATAATAAAAAAATGTTTACGCCACTAATTATTTTAACGCGATTAACGCATGTGTATTTTTTTTCCTCGGCCGCCCCGTAGTTTCAGAGCGCATCGAGTTTAAAATACCATCTACAAGCTGATGCTGACAGCCCCGCTCCTGTCGCCCGCTTGTGGCAGACCACACTTCCACGCTCACCGGCAGGCACCGACTGGCCATCTGGAGGACCGGGAGGGTGTGTGTATGTGTGGCCCGAGCGAGCGAGAGAGAGACCTTACGTGCATTGTTGTTGTTAGCATCTGGTGCTAGCTAGCTGCGCTAACGGATATACGGAGCTGTTTAAATTAAAACAGAGGAGCGACATTTCGCCACAACTGCGCCGAGCACTTGACTTTATGCAGGAAGCCAGACAGTGGGACATTGTACGAAAAGTCAGCACACTCCGCACGGATAGTGCGCAACATGATTGCAGCGTCCAGGCAGCTCCGGTTCGAGCATATGCCTTGAGTTGCACATAGCTCCAACGCCCATACCACCGACGACATGTTTGTTTACTGTCCTGGCTTCACGGCCGCACACCATTTACGTCACAGCCAGGCATGAGTTAGGGAGCGCTGGATTTGTGAAGAACTCCCCTCTTCCTAAACCACTAATACCACAGTACTGGCAAAACGGGAGGAGCCGAGTGAAAAACAAGCGCCCCTCATCCCAATCCACCCACACCGCAATATTTTTTTCTTTTTTTTTACCCAAAAAATATATTGTATATTATCGGGGCTATTAATACTGGTATCGGGTTTATCGGGATGACGTCATAATTCCTAATATCGGACCGATAATTATCGGGCCGATAATTATCGTGCATCCCTAGTACAATTGAAATACAAGTGTTCTTTAGCCCAAGAAAAGTAAACATGATGAATTAATAATTACTCTTAATTAAGATAACACAAGGGAAGGGGAGGAATCTGTGTCCTGTGAGGAATAATTGAGTTAACGGCCAAATGCTCCCATTGAGGGAAACTCATTTTTCCCAGAGGCAGCTTCATCACTTTATTGGCAGAGCTGAGCAGAGATGCTAACCATTACAAACTGAGGGGAAATCATTGTAATCTCACCACTCCACACCCACAATGCTTTGGTTCTGTTCTGAGTTAGAGTCCATCACAAAAGTGGAACAAACAATGAAACAGATTATTTGACTCGTATACAGAACAATGCACCTCTGACGAGAAGAGTTACAAAATCTGTGTCCCGTTATATTTGGGTGTGTTCCATGAAATATGTCACGGTGTTTTATTTTGGTGCTAGATGAGATTTACAAGAAAGGCATGTGATTAAAACTGATGAGAGTTCAAATTAGGTTAAATTTAAAGGTGCTAAAAAGTGGGGGCTTATCCGGTCTTAATATAAACCTTTTTTCATAGTGTCCATAACGTTAATGTCCAACAAGCTAATATAGGAACAAGCCTGCTGTGCTGATGCATTGTACAAAAGTTTGGGTCACAGTGAACAACAAGGAAGTGTGTTGCAAATTGGACTACACTTTGAGGAAAACCATTTTTAGTAAATGAAAATAAGCTCCGAAACATTTATGCTGATTTACTGACTAGACCAAGGATGTTCAATTAGATTTAAAAAGGCGTAAAATAAAAACTTTAATTATAGCTGCTCTAGTTTTGGACCCTATTTAACAAAGCATTGTAAGACCAGTTTTAAGTATCTATGATTCCCAATCTGACAGGAAAATGAAGAAGTGTGCAGTGAAGAAGAAGGCGTAGCTTAAATGCTTAACTGGTCAGCAACGAGTCAACACTTCATTAGGCTGATGTGTCAACATGGACGGCCTAACAAGAGCAGCTTTCACACCAAGTACTTTGCCATACTTAGTGCCCAGCACTTATGCCCCGGCCACACGAGGACGAAAACGGTCGTTTGCGTTACTGTTTAGTGTCATATAGACCTTTCGGCCACACGAGGACGACCGAATACGGCACTAAGCGACTGCGGAAATGATAACGTGGTTAGAACGGCATACGCAACACTTTGGGGGGGTCCAACGGCTCCGTGTGTACGCCCTATACGATCATTTTCTGATAATGATGAGGCAATAGCCCCGCCTCTCCCCACCTCTGCTGCTCACCCCCGCGTCAAAGTAAACTGCAAACTGAATTCAGATTATTTATCTTTCTCTCGATATGGACATAAACGCGAGTGAAGTCTAATCTGACAGGACGGAGACATCTCTCAAACTACCTAAACTAGTTATAAATATGTTTATTTTTATTGTCGGCCGGGTCACTCATTACTGGATCAGCTGCTGCATGAAACAGACACTGAGCTGTCCGAAGAGAGGGTGGAAAAAGAGAGGCTCCGTGTATTTTATTATTATATTATATAGAGTCGTTATTCATTTGTTTTAAAGCTCAATAAATAACAAAGAAGACCTTTGACCAGCACTTTTATAATTTTGTCGGAAGATTTAAACTTTAATACACGTTGACTGGCGAAAAACTCTGCCCGGTTCCCTTGGCCCCCACCGCGGAATAAAGAGAAGGGCAACCATGACAACCATGCTTCTTCGCTGCTTTTGTGGAGGAAGTTACAGCGCCACGTACAGGCTCCTGCATATGTACTGCAGCTTCTCCAGCGGTTGGAGCTAAACGGAGGTGTCTCGTGTGGGCAGACACTATCCGGTGAATATTGCGTGTGGACGGAAGCTTTTTTTGCGATTGCGTTAATCCTATGCGTTTAGCCGTTTTCGTCCTCGTGTGGCCGGGGCATCAGTGCCAGCACTTAGTACCACCATGGAACTAAGAGCCGATCGCGTTCACACTGGAATAAGTTCCCTAAGGGAAGATTACGCAAATGAAGCCGCTGACGTCACTTCTTCTTCTTCTGCTTTGGGTTTACTGGCAGGCCGCAAACAACTTCACGGCGTATACTGCCGCCCAAAGTCCCCGGAGTTGGGGACTGGCTGCTGGGAGTCCCAGCAGCTTCCACTGAAGCCTTCTAGTAAATCGCCAGAACGCCGACACCTCCTCATCATTCCAATGTTTTTTTTTGTGTTGCCATAAGTTATTCTTTCTCCGTTGGTGCGCGGGGCTAATGCTAATGCTAATAATGCTAATGCCAGCAAATACAATGGCGGCTTCAAAAAAACTTTTCAGAACTTTACGGGCCGTAGTTTGCAATTCGCCCAGCCAATAGAAATGGGTACTTTTTTTCTCCCCAGGATAGTCCCACCTCTCTAGCAGGCACTACAAATTGGGGTAAAAGTTCTCCGAACTAAGTTCTCTTTTTGGTGTGAATGCAAAATTCCAGGCACTAACGGAACTAAACGGGAAAAGTACGGGTAAAAGTACTCCGGTGTGAAAGCGCCTAAGGACTCAGAGCAGCAGGCACACAGCGTCCTGCTGATTCAGCCTGGCTCTGTCAGGTGGCTTACATGCCCACTATCATTGCAACAGGTGTGCGTCTGTCCTCTCCACCTCCTGCTGCCAGGGTCACCATAGCTACGCAGACAGCCACTGGTGTCATCCCTCTTGCACACACACACACACACACACACACATTGGCACACAGAGATTACTAGGAAACGGGCACTGGCTGTTCCTCATTAAATCAGGGACGATGCACAATGTTTCTGCCCTCTGCACAGCGTCATTACATGTGTGATACTGACTCTCTCTCAGTAAACAATGATTAGCTTCTGGAAAATCTGAAATAAGTAATATAAAGAAATCTGGCCTCAACCTCCAAATGCACATAAACACACACTTCTTTCTGAGGCTTTACTATTCATAATAAGCACTGAAAAGAGAAGAGAGCAAAATTGATAAAGTCTGAGGGAGATATGAATAATATAAATACAGGAAATACTGTGTGTGTGTGTGTGTGTGTGTGTGTGTGTGTGTGTGTGTGTGTGTGTGTGTGTGTGTGTGTGTGTGTGTGTGTCAATCCCATTTAGGTAATTCTTGGCTCAAACAATGCCTATCCTTCTCTTGCTGCAATGGCCAAGAGTGGCAACACTTCAGCTCAAGCTGTGTGAAGACCATTGGACAGACCCCAAAAATAGCTGCAGTGTGTACAATAGGAGAGCACTAAAAGCAAAGGAAGACTTTGTATTTACAAAGTATTAAGTTGTGAGGCTGGGATAATAGCCCAGGGTAAGTGTGCCAACTGTCTCTCCTAGACAGACTGGAGAATAAAAACAACCACCTACGTTTGGAGAGTTATCCCCTTCTCAGCTAGAAAACACAGCTACTGCCTGTGTTATAACTTATCCAGATGCTTGTAACGCCCCCCTAAACCCAAAGAGCCTATATGGTTGAATAGAGGCTAGAGGGAGGGGGCTATGGGTGTGTAAAGAGGCAAGTTACTATCCAATGTTTTGTGTCTTATATTCCTCTTGTCTCTGCCAGTTTTAATTTGCTCACTCACTACCTGTCTAACCCCCACATTCTCTCTTTACAACTTTAGACTTAGCAACATAAACTTATAAGAACTGTTTTGTTCCTTAAGTACAACCAAACTGTTAAAGTGTGCCTATGAAGGGAGAAGCTTCCTCCACAGTGTGGAGCACAACCATACTGCATTAGAATGCAAAAATAATTTTCAATGAGGGAAAACTTCTAGAAACATTTAGTACCTCAAACTATTTATCAGTGCTATTCCAGGTTAAGAGACTCATAGAAAAACTGATGTCAACGCTATAATATTGCATTTACCACAGCCGAGCAAAAAGGTTAAAGGAAGTGGACTTATTTCACAAAGCTGATTTTTAGTTTTAAGCCTTCTTACCTGTCCTCATCCACATCCATGGTTATGTGGATGCCAAACAGACTGTTGACAGCAGGATTGGGAAGGTTGAAGCCACCGGTGAGGAAAGGTATTACACCATCTTTCCCTGGCATCACAATGGCGCTGCGCTGAGGGAGTCCATCAGACTTCTTCTGCCTGCTATCTTCTACATGGTTGCTGAAGATGGAGGGAAGGCCTGTTGTTGCTCCTCTGTGGACTCCTTGGGGCTTTACAAGCCCTCCTGTGCTGGGCCCCTGACTTGGAGCTCCCGGAGGGTTGTTGTGGTTTGCATTGGGCACTGTGGCAGGTGCGTTCTGGACACTGTTGTAGGAGGAGGTGAGGACTGAAGGTGCAGGGGCAATGCCTAACCCTCCTGAAGGCTGAGTCTGGCTGACATACTGTTGGCCACTTCCTGTATTGCCTGCTTGCATCAGAAGCCCCTGGGCTGAGGCTGCCTCTCCACCTGGCACTTGGGCCCCAGCACCAGCAGGGGGGATTAGAGGCGATGATACCTGGCTGGTTAGAGGCCCCATAGAGAGGGCAGATATTGGAAGGTTTTGAGTGCTTGAGACAAAGTGCTGCTGACGATAGTCCTGCTGGCCAGATGAGTGGCCAGGAGGAGGAGTAGAATAGGCAAACTGTTGGGCCTGCATGGCAGGAGGCATAATAGGACCACCATGGTGCACACCATTGAGGCTGTTAGAGAGGAAGGTCTGGGCCTGTTGGGATGCTGTAGGTGGATACCCTGTGGGGTGAAAGGCACTTGCTCCATTCCCTATCTGAGGAGACAAGCTGTACAATTGCTGCAGAGGCTCTGAATGGTTGGAGTGAGCGGGATGGGCAACAGAGTAGCCACTGTCAGAGGTGTTCTCCAAAGCCTGTGCAGAAAAAGTACAGCTAATAACCACAGAGTTACAGGTGGCCCCTTGCCCACTGTCCCTGTCTGTACTGTGATCAAGGGTCACAGCTGGCTTTATGCTATCCACAGTCCGATTTGAATCTGAATCTCTCTCATAGAACTCAGTGCATGTCCACCTGCCCCGCCTGAAGGGCTCACCAGTGCCATGGTCAAGTTTAATGACCCTGAAACGGGAACTGCAGCTGGTTGTGTTCCCAGGAGCTGTGTGAGCCACACTGGCAGCAGGGACTGTACTGGTGACTGGCGGATGGGTGGCTGGGCTCGGAACAAAAGGCTGAGTTGTAGCAGGCACAGGCACACTTCCTGCTACATTATGTGGGGTGACACGACCAGTGCCTATACTTTTATAACAGAGTCCCCCGTTGACAGGACCCGTGGAGGGCGTCTGGCCGTCCGGAGGCTCCCCTAACGTAACGCTGTTTAAGGTTTCCTCTGAAGAGCTCCTCTCACACACCCCAAGGTCTGCCCGACAAACATCAAATATTTCCGACGACACGTCCTCTGTGCGGGACTCGTCGTCCAGGCTCTCAGTATCGTCCGTGATGCTGCTGGCCGCCACCTGAGCCTGCGTTACACTCGTGATCTGAAAACAACTTTTCTTCTTCGCCGGCATTTTCGACATGTTGACTATTTGTCTCGGGTCTGTCAGCTCCCGGTGAAATAAAGTGCTGGACTAATGTCTTGCGAAGTAACTCACAGTTGAGGGATGTGACACAGACACGTACCGTCACAGGACATTTCCATAACGTGTATCTTCCTCTCTCTTGTCGGAGAAAGGTGTCACAACCGGGGACAGACCCTGCGAAACTCCCGAAACCTTCCGCGGCGACTGCTGCTCCTACCCCGGCCTCTCTGACACCTCGTCGGCCTGCCCTGTGTCCCGGCAGCGAAGTTGGAAGCAGGCCTTTGTTGAAGTTCTTGTTCAGCAGCTGCCACCGGTACTTTAGTCTGAGGCGGGCCCGGTGTTCTCTCTCAGCTATAAGTGTAGACTAGCAGAGTTAGCTGATGTTAGCTAGTTTTCCCTACTCCGGTACCAGCATGTGCGACATCATGATGTAAACAAATCCATTGTCTGTCCAAAAAGAACATAAACTCCAGCAAGAGACAGAGAAAACGTCTCAAAGTCGGTGAAGTGTCGCCTCTCTCTGTCTGGACAGCTCACTTTTGGCAGCTGCTAGTAGCAGCTAGCTGACAGATAACCACTTTACCACAGCCAGTGGAGAACTAAGCTAATTGGTAGCTAACTGCTGCCTGCCGCTCTTCTGACCCAACCACTCGACAAGATGGCAAGAGCGCAATGCATCCTGGGTATTGAGGTCAAACTAGTTTTCAATTTTCTTAAAAACCTGTATTTATAAATCAACGACGGCTCAAACTGTTATCGTATAAACATTTTGTGAAGTTTTTGAGACTGAGAACAATTAAAAAAAATAAAAAGTAGTTTTACGTAGTTTAAAAACTATATTTTAAGCCACGTAAAATGTGACGAATATTCGTCACCTTCGTCACTTCCGGTTCACGTCCCACCCACCGGTAGAAGCAAAAAAGAGATCGCCAGAAGTGAACAGATGTTTTTTATATCAAATCTTGTTATACATTTGGCAAAATGTGAAGAATTTGATAGATATTAGGAAAAAAACTATTAAGATGTTTCTCTTCTCCGAAGAAGTAAATGGTATCGTCAATAACGTGATAATTATTGGTTAAGAATAGCACATTATTCATGAAGGCTAGACGGAAAAGGAAGAATCTCTCACTTAACCGGTTTATAAATTAATTAAAGAAGTGTCTTCTAATTAAGTTAACTGACACAAACCAGGTTGTTCAAATAAATTATCAAAATATGCCACAATAGTGAATATGGCCATTTAAACAAAAATAAATCATTTTTATTTATAAATATCAGTTCATATTAATATTGCAGTGTAATACTTTTTTATGTTGTTCTTTTTATCTGTTTATATTTTTGGAATGCAAACTAATAATCCTAGGAAATCAGTACACTGAATTGTTCTAAATAAAGTTGTTTTTAAAACCAGAATATGAGTTTAAAGGCTATGTTTTATAATTTGGAGATTATATATTTGGATAACCTCACAATTATATATGCAATTTAAAATGTGTACCCTTGTATTAACTACTGCTTATAAAGCCTATTTTGAACTTATCTCTGTTGCAACATTGAGTTTCTACTTTATAGATTCATGTCTCAAACAAACTTCAACCAACTGAGTTATAACAGGAATTGTTCTTGTTTTTGAAGTATTCACTATATCTCCAGGAAACTGTGTATCCTATTCAGACTCTCTACTTGGCATAATGTTGCTCAACAAATATGACAGTGATGACTATACTCTTGAGGAATAATTGAAATTATAAAATACTAATATCTTCTTCTCGAAGGTAAAAAAATAAAACAAAAATATATATATACATATATGTTTCTGAATCCCGTACACAAAAGAGTTCCATAGGGTTTGAGCTCTCAGCAGAAGCCCAATCAACTTTTGTCTTATAGGACCTGGGAGGAACCAGCTGTTCTCAATCCAATCTTAATGGCGAAGAGGCCACATAGCAGGTCAATAAAACAGAGATCTACTTAGTAGCAAGGCCATTCACTGCGATTAAAGTGAGTAGTGAAAAATAAAAGCATGTACAACTTTTGGTAGATCAACTATAACTGAACATTTTGAACTTGATCATTAAATTATAAGTCAGCATCAAATATTACCCTCGGCCAGGTCAAAGCAGACTTCTCTTGTGTGAAAGCCTAACAAAACTAGCAATAACACTAGCAAATCAATGTAAGTCCCCGGAATAACTCAGCCTCACACCTTTGATTATAATAGTAATATCATAACCAAAAACCCTGGTTTAGCACAGACTTGCCCTCTGACAAAGCAGCTAGTAATATAGACAGAATTTCCAGAACAGCATAGAAGTATTTTGCTGGTTTATTTTTCATATCCAGTCACATCCAGGAAACAGGAAATGCCTCTTGCATATGGCCCATGACTATGGTGACCCCCAAGGGTAAAGTATCAAGCACAACACATTCAATCATTAAGATTAAGATTAATACATTTTGTTTGATATTGTCAGCATTAACTAATAATATGGACTGCATTTTCTTGTTCCGTAGACATAAATTAAATATTATACTAAAAAATGAATGTGTTCTTGAGAAACATATGTGATCTAGTTTTTTTCTAGAGTATATCACCACAGCTTTGATTTGACTTGCTTCAAAGACTCAAGCAGTATGACTACTGAACCTTCATTCAATTGTTTCATGTGTCATCTACAAGCTAATGGATCTGGTATTCATGTACTCTACTGTTTGACTGTGATGACTCAAATGGGACTTTAGCATATAAGGTGTGTTTCAATTATGTGGACTCTCTACCATGAGTAAAATTGATAAAGTCTTTTTTTTTATGGAAATGTATTTAAATCATAATATACTATAATAATAATAATAATAATAATAATAATAATAATAATAAATAAATACCTTTAAAATACATTGGCACTTTTAGATCCTAGCTTGTTTACCTGAATTACCACGCACTGTATCAGTGACTTTATTCCTGACGGTGACTCATTAGCAATGAACTGATGACTTGAGCTAACTGCCTCAATAAAAGCCATCAAAGGCTTGTGCTCGAAAGCAGGACAGATTTTCACAAGATCAACACATGACACAAGTAAAAAATAAATAGGTCACAATGTTGTGTTGGCCCATGGTTCGACCAACCTAAATGTCTTCTTTTTTAATTTAAGTGTTAAAAGAAGGTTTTCTGGCCTGATTTCTACTGAAATACAATGACAATTTAGAACACAAAACAAGTGATTAGCTTTCGGTGCAGATCTGTATTCGTTTAGGAAAGTTTATCTGTGGAACAGCCTGGCCTTGGGGGTTTGAGATTATGTAATGTTAAAGTCATTGATTAAAGTTCATTTGGAGTATTTTGTTGCATTTCCCCCATGTTCTGTCAAAAATGAACTGCTTGTTCATTGTGCTTTAATCCAGATTAAATTAGCACAACACACTCCACACTTACCCTCAATGGCACGTTACAGTACTTCAGTTGTGGACAATGGCAGTAAAAGAAAGTGAAGGACAAAATGAAAACGTTTCTGTTTATTTAAGGACAATTATCTTTACCTCATCTCTTAATCTAACAGGTCACCTTCATATTCATGTTTTTATTTTATATATTGCCGTTTTTTTCCCTCAAAGAAACACATGACTGTTTAAGAAATGGCACTACAAAATAGCTTTGCTGTATTGTTCCCCTGACACAAAGACTAATCATTGAATCATAGAGTTACGTAATGTCCGGTTGCCGACTCACAAGGTCTCTCTGACGAAAACAATTCCATGCAAGCCTCAGATAAGACGGAGGAGATGGAAAACAGCTCAAAATAGATGTGGGTTGACACACAGTAATAAAATATTTAATTAGATTTTTATTTTCTGCTGCATTTCATAAGGGGAGAAAAAAAAACAGGTACAATTTCTAAATATTATAATTTCATTTAGGGAAACATTATACAACTCTGAAACTGCTGAATTACAGCAGGTTTGAAATGGTTTTCATGATAAGACCGTTTTTCTTGACAAAACATAACTTCATACTCCTCTCTAAAAGGACCTGGATACAACTTTCTCTGAAAACATTGTTGCAACATCAGCTCCAACAAGCCCTCTATACTTAGACGCCCTCCTTTGGTAGCAGGCTGTGCGTGGGCTTTCCCAGCCCCAGCCAAAGTGTTTGTGTAGCTGGTCGTGTTTATTTGCTCTGGTCTGGGGGTGAAGACTACCAGGCTGTGCTGCGGCGCGTCATGGTCCAGCCTGCTGGGTCTACTTTCAGTGTACCACCACAGTAACAAGGCAGCCGTTGTACCACTGTATTTTGGGGCCTAGGGTCCCGGCCAGCGGTCACTCTCAGCAGCCCAACCTGGGAGACCTCTGGCCTTTAGCAAAGCATTGTGGGGTCTAAGAGTGCACAATCAACAAACAGACTGACCAAACATCACTCTGCACTTGCTAAAAAAAGGGGTTCCCCAGAGAACATGGTACAAGAGGTTGGTTCAGGGCAACTTGACCAGCCTGAAACTGAAATAATGAAATACGCATGTAAACCTTGGGCATGGTTTCAGGTTTATTGGGCTCCTTTTCCAGTGAAACACACATTGGCTTGTTAGTTTTGCCCCGGACCATTTATTTCCCTGTGTCTGCCTACTAATAAAAGTAAGTGTTAAATAAAGTTAAATTACCGTGTGTGTGTTTCAAGGAGTGGCTTTGTCCCTTTCTGTCCACATAAGCCTCCTTTTAGCTCAAAATATAAACAGTTCACAGAAAAAGGTCTAAGTTCAAGTAAACTTTTGGAGATCAGGGGATGTTCTTTTTTCTGTTAAGCTACTCATGTTTATCCTGATATTTTTCACTACCTTATGAATTCCTTCAGAGTGTGGGGATTTACAGTTCAGTTATGACGCAATGTCTTGAAATTATATAATACTGCATGTAATGAGAGTAATGTACAGAAATATAAAGGGGTCTGTCTGTGTGTATGAACAGGGAGGCAATGTCTGTTGCAACACAGACCCAAAAATATGTTGTAGCATGTTCTTTATACTCTCTCAATTCATATTTCATTTTATTGAAGATGTTTTTATTAACTGACATGAACTGAAATCGTATTTCCTTTTAATCCATCTGGCATTGGAGTTGCTACTTGCTGTGAATACTCCCACCTTAACAGGCAGAGAAAATACCTGAGAAGTCATTGTGCCGTTATTGTGAATCATGTCTGATAAACCTGCTTGTGTAATATGTATTCTCTCTAACTGCCTTTGAAGACAAAAACTGATTATGGGAAAATCACAACAAGGAAAATAATGTGGTAAATTGTTAAGTGCATATAATAAGAGGTATTTATTGGCACAGAGAACACTACAAAGATAGTGACATCTACTCTGAAGTTTGGCACTCTCAGACAAAGGGTGTTACAGTTGGTGGTTACAGAGTAATGTGCATTTATCGCTGTTCATGGTCAACAATAGAGGCCCATGTTATCATGAGAGAAATATTATAATGTTTAAATTCCTCAGCCACCAAAAATCACAAGATACCAAAATCCATGAGTACAAAGCTCAAGTCCTCGGAGTCTTAAACCCCTTACAACACAAATAATAATGCCAATTTCCATGAAGACGTAGGGAAATAAGCACAAAGAAGGTGAACCAACATTCCTAGTTAGGACAGATTTTCGAGCTGTAATC